CTGAAGCACTGCTGAGGCTGCATTCGTACTGTGCGACAGCGCCCACCAACGACTAGGAGTGAAGAGTATGGGAAAGTAGGAGGGAGCAGACACCGGGTTAGGCGTTGTGAAATTGTGGTTTGTGCAGTCATACTGTAATACTACACAATACGGTGTAATAAGTTTCATAATTCTGTGCTGTAGCGGCTGCACCCGCCTTAATTTCATGAAGCCTAAGCTAGCTGTCTGTTCCCTCCTACTTCCTCATACTCTTCCATCCTGACCCGCCATGCTTTCCTAGTCGCTGGTGGGCGCTCGCAAAGTATGAACGCATCAGCATCAGCATCACTTTACATACGTCAGCTGCGTCACTCAGCACATACCCTCAGGGAGTGAGAGCCACGCAGGTGTGAGAGCCACGCAGGTTGCTCCCTCTCCGCGCAGCCTTTGCCGTGCTTACGGTGAGGGACAAACTGGGGAATACTGTCCCAGGCACAATTTTACGCGCACTTTGGGGCACTGTATATCTCCCTGTTATCCTAAACTTATAATTCAACCGACAAATGTCACTTGCAGTTCTTCGATGTGCTTCGCATCATATTCCTTACAGCTACAATGCATGTCTGTGCAAGCATCATTGTTGGTACAAACGCGCCGCTTTTCCGATTTCCACTCAGCCTGGAAACCTTGTGTGATATTCTGAGATTTTATGATTGTTTTTCAGAATACTGCACATGGGGAGATGTGTTCTGTGGGAATGCGTTACGCCATTGATGCATGTGCCAACTTAGAGGCTACTTCTATGTTGCTTGTGCATGTTGATTAACCATGTGGTGTGTCGTTTTGTTCAGCATTTATTTTTTGGTTGTTTGGCATGGAGGGGGCAAGTGAATAATAATGTGGGCTTCGATTGGGATGGTAATGGTTATATAGTGCGTTTCAGTCGAAATGATGTCATCTTATCGATGATGAGATCATACTTCTGTCCTCTCACACATCACACAAACACACCTTTCACCGTGAATTCTCTGTATATATCAAGATGACTGCACATGCTTCGTCGCCCTCACACAGCCTTATAAGCATGTAAGTTTATGTTGTCCCTACATCGTAGCGTACTCGAGCATGAATCGGTGGTTCAGGACATCTGAGGCGTGTAATTGCGCGAAATTCAGCTTTCCTAGCTAGTTGACTCGACATAGCATCTTGGCGTGAAATCGGTCGCATCGGATATCCGTGAGTTGGGGCAGGCGTAACTGCGTCATTCGTTTGAATTGGTGGCAGTGGGCGCTCTTGGTGGGCTATCTTCGTTCCGAACAATACTAATCATACCTTGTCCGGTACAAGCACGTCCTGCCGTTGGAGAAAATTTTTCTGCAATGTAGATCCCCCAGAGTTTTTACTCTGTTAGCACCCCCCCCCCCCTTTTTTTCCATCCTACCTACCATCTTACTGACTCTTCCGAAATCTACCTTTTACCAGTTTCCCAAAAGTTTCTCCAATTCAACCTTTTAAAAAAACTGCTATCAGTGAGGGCTGTGGCTCGCCACCAAAAAACTACACAGTAAGAGCGTGTTTCATACGCTGAATTGAATCGCGCCATGCCAGTTCGAGCGATCCTGAGGGGCGCTTCAGCGCCAAACGTTGCACGCGTCCGCACAATTCAGATTGCGCCCATGCCAATTAGCGGTTGGAGCGCCCTCCGGTCAGGCCTCGATTGGAATCGCGCGACATACAGCCGATAAACGCGCTCTAAGGTTGAACTCTATGACAATAATAGTTGTATAGGACTCGGTTGATCCATAACAAAAAGGGGGGGAGGGAGCTATGCATGCGTGATAAGCTAAACAAAAAGAGGCCGGGCACATCGTTGTTGGGGAATCCCCAATAGGGGGGGGTCGTATTTGGCCGCCAGGAGAGGGGGGGTCGTATTTGGGCTGGGAAAAATTTATTTTGATAGTTGATTTTTCTCGCTTCACGGACGTTGTAAAGGGGGGAGGGAGGTGTCGTAATCTACGTTTGGCGTTTGGGAGCGGCGCTTGACTCGCCGCCATCTCGACGGCTCGTTTCGATGAGGGAGAGAGGGCCCGGAGGGGGTGGGGTCGTACCAACCCCCAAAAAATGGGGCGGGGGGTGGTACAGACTCGACTAAAATCCTCAACCAATGATGTGCCCTGAAAAGAGGTGGTGGGGAGTCTCGTGAAACGGAAATACGCAAAAATTCAGCCACACATTTTTTCGCGCTTGGAAAAATGACAAGGTCAGATGCGAGCATCCTTCGAGCAGCAAGGAATTACGACACCTCCCTGTTGTCCCAGCGATGTGGACGGTGCGCGTGAAACAGGAAAAAAATCAACTTTCAAGAAATTTTTTTAGGCAAAATGCGTCCTCGTCTCCAGCGACCAAATAATTTCCCGTGCTGGGGGATTTCACAGCGTACGGAAAGCTTTGAGTGCAAGACAGTTACGTCAGATGGAACTATCCCACGAAAAACAATAAGTTGCCGTGGTTTATGACGTGATTGATTTGACGCCAGAGTGTTTTGCTGGGTCAACTAGCAAGGGATACTCGCTAGATTACGCGTGATCAGATGTCGTGAACTACGTCCGTCGGTGTGGAACTTGTCACGTAGCACTTATCACAAGAATTTTAGTGAAATAGTTTTGAATTTGCTTTTGTGAAATATCGTAATTTATTTAATTGCAAAATAATGATTCTTGTGGGAATAACTACAAATTACTGCATTAGTTGTTGAGTGAACAGGAAAGCGAAGGAGGAAACAACTGCAACGAATCATCTTCAGTTTGTTTCATTTCTAGACCAAAAAGTTTTGCAGTGTGCTAAATGCGATGTTGTGTGTGTGGTGGTTTGGGCCATCTTTGTTCACTTGATATATGATCTGGTTCGCTGCAAATGAAAGGGCGTGTACGGCAGGATGGATTTGGCGTGGTGCCAAACATGTCCTCTACCACGGGGAAGCAGCAACAGTTGATGGAAAACGAGTGATACAATCGAGATGTACAGTCTTATCGCTTGCTCGGCTCAACTACTGGTGGAAAACGGGATTGTATAAGAGCCAAATCCATTTTTCCAGACACGCCCCTTCATGCGCAGCGAACCAGACTGTAGATGGTTATGTTTCGTTCTAACGCGTGCTTGTGTGTGGTTTAGGTGTCGCTTCATCGGCCGCCTTCAGTGCAATGGCTGCGAAATGTGCAGGTGCTTATTCACTAGCTGCACTTCATTTGGAAGGGGATGCATTCGAGCCGATTGTTGGCAGACGTGTTGCTACTGCTGCTACCGCTGGGGATGGAGCGATCCATGGAGTGCACAGGACCTGCTCGTTGAATCGCCATCCATTGGCTCACACTGCAGATCATCCAAAACGACCCCAAATCGCAAGTCTTGGTCTTGGTGTCAATGACTTAGTTGATCTAAAACAATCTCTTAGCTGTGACTTTTGAAGCATGTCACGAATTTGCCCTTCTTTACCGGGATATGTGACAGGGCAATCGTTATATGCCGCATGGTAGGCGTGCCAAACGACACCGCCCTTGATAGAAAACACGCCGCGCGCGACGACGCGACAAATCACGATTGTCTTGTCCATCTCTCTCTCTTTACCGACCGCAACATTTTTCTCTGCTTTAGGAGCAGTCTAATAATTACCTTTTCATTTTCATTGGTTTCAGTTGGCAGGTATTGACATAGGGAAACTCTTCTTGCGAATGATGGTATGTTTTTGTTGGGATTGCTTCTTCAAATAGCATTTCGTCTATGCATGTGGAATGCCTTTTAAAAGCAATTCGAAATCAGTGTGCATCATGGATGTGGAATTCACATCAAAGGGGGGGGGGTATATTCAATACAGAGGGAGGTCGTATTCGGCTCTTCCTTTCACGCACACCTGTAAGCATGCGTCCATACTTCGCGTCAGCGTTTTGACCCACCAGGAAAGCATAGATATTGGTCTAGCGTTCTGAATGTACGCCAGCGTTTCGAGCGCTGCGCGGGTAGTTTTGAACTTATCACGGGCGGTAGCTCAAAGCGCTCGCGTACGCTCAAAACACTAGATCGATATCGCAACGTTCCTAGTCGCTCAAAACGCTGGCCTACGCCGCTATACGCTCGCTGACGAAAGTATGAACGCAGCCTGATACTACCCTAGTCGGCGTTGCGATGTTTCACTCTTTTTCCTAGTTAATGGAGGCCGCCCCCGTTTTCTCGGCGATCCGGGCTCCGTTCATGACTTTGCGAGGGGGAGTATAGGGAGGATTAAGGAGTGCGCAGACTCGACGTTTCAGACGAGTGGCGCCAGACGAAAAGATGGGTTTTGATCTAGCGACTTGGGAGTACAGGGAAGTTTGAGATTCGCAATTTTTGAGGCAATCTTCCCGTGGAGGTCGCCGATTGTGAGAGCCGCGCGAGTTCCTCATCACTCCAATTCCCAGTCACCCGGGATCAAGTATCTGTTACTGTGCCTATGCCGTGCGCGCATTTTCCGAACGGATTCTGCCTTTCCGTTTACTGACTCTCATTCTTCCATCGGCCAAACTGGAAGCGGAACCATGGGAGAAGGGGGTGATATAGAAGAAAATCCCTCACGACATCCCAATGAATGTACATTGTCAGAACTGTCGACGCGTATGCTCGCCGTCATGTTGTTATACGTCAAAATCATTTCCACTATCCTATACTCCCCCTCTTTGGTTGGAAATGAGCTTCACAGATAAAAAAAACGCCGAATTGTCCTTCTAGTACTACTGGTACTAATTATTTGCACTCTTCTTCTCTAAAAGAGTGCTGTGATTTACTCAGTGTCTTTCAAATCAACACGTTCAGATACGATTATTCGGTAAATCTGCTCATTACTTCACTGGCCAACTACCGTTCTCTTTGATCAATTGAAACTGCGCGAATTGCGGGTGCGCGCATGTCTTCTGGGGCACAAATAGTACACATCCAGTATATAGATATCGATTTGCGGGTGCTCTTTCTTTTCTATTACAACAACTTTCCTGCTAAACTGTCCATCAAAGCATTCCAGTATGTTCAATTTGCAGCCAGTGTTTGCTGTGGCGCAGATTTTCGCTCTTACGCCCTGAGCGTTACCCTTCGCGTTACGCGCGCAAGGCAGCGGTCAGACTTTGCGATGACGCGCTGCAACGCCCGACCGTGCGGTACAGTTGCATCGGCGCTTCAATCCTACAGACGCGAACGCAGCAGCAGAGGAGAATCGATCGGCGGCAGTCGCTTGTGTTTTGAGAGAGTATGGAATCACGAGGGCAGACGCTGCCTCCAACAGGATGTCAGAGTGCATACAGTACCCCCAAGAACTGCGCGTGAAATCAAATGTGTCAGCGCGCACAACTGGGCATACCGTAAGATTAAATAGCACTATTCCACTGTTACTGCCCCGAACCCATTTCCAAGTGTAGTTCGACCTCCCGAACATGTACAGCACATCCATTTGGCTTGAAGTGGACAGAATAACCTAAATCATCAAATGTTGTTCAGCTTTCCAAGCGAATGTGCTAGACATGTTGATGAGGTCGAATTATCCTGGAAACGAATTTTCAGCGGAATCTGCAAAAAGAAAGTTGGCAAAAAAAAACTGGCTGGTTTGGAAGACTCGGGTAGTAATAGAGTAATGCTGTATACGGTATTTCAATTGTGTGCGTTCACGGCCCAGCACACTTAACGCATTTTCAGGGTTACTGTATGCACCGTGGCTTCCTTAACTTATAATCCTGTATGCCTTCGCACTATCTGGCTCTCTCCCATTCTCTCTCAAAGCCTTAGCGGCCAATGCCGATCGATTCTGTTCTGCTTTTGCGTTCGCGTCTGTATCATTGGAGCGATGTTGCCAGTGTAGCGCGTCGACGCGCGTCATCGCGAAGTGTGAACGCTACCTAACGAATCCAACATAACTCTTCTTAGAGTATCTCATGCTGCATCTTCATTTGATCTCTTTGTCGAAGCTTGTGCTAGTTTTTCTTCCATGAAATTGGCAACGCTTCGATGCTCATGCGATCACTTTCTCGATCACTGGTTTCAAAATGGCTATTGCTTTCAGCATTTTGCAGATGTTTAATTCTCTCGTCAGAGTAACTACAATGAGTTCCGGGTTTGCAGCTTATTTTACTGTTTTTGTTCAGAACGATGAAATATTCCATAATGAGAACTCAATTAGGTCTCGTGCCTGTATGTAATCTTGAAGTTTTTCTTTTTTTTCGTAGCGCATCTGTCTTCGCCGGACTAGTCTCTCGCCTATTGTAAAGTAATCCCCCATAGTGTTGATTCTGACCTGTGTTTATCCCAGTTTTCATTCCATGAGACCGCTTCGGTTGTTTTGGTTGTAGATTTGCTGCCGTTATTATCCATTCACTTTCTAATAAAACATGCATGAAGTGATTTTGGCTCGTAAACATTCTCCTCAATTTCAGGTAGGAAAAAATCCACACCGTACTGTGCTGTGCTTTTGCAGAGAGTTTGATTCTTTTTAATTTTAGCGAATTTTAGGAACCACACATACCGATGGGACTGAACCGGTGGTCTTGGCTGATAGCCCTTATGATGAACCAACAACATTGGCTGCATCTATTGGTCATCGTCTAAGTAGCAGTGTTGGAGAGGTTGGTTTTACTGGTGTTTTGTCAAAGGCATGCCACGGTTTCGAAACTGTGGAGTTGTGCTATTCAAATGTCAATGTAAGGTTGCAAGTGATTCAAAAGTGGAGAAAAAAAAGCAGAAAAACACCGGAATGCCCCTTCAGAGCCCCTTATTGCTGCGCTCGTACGTCAGTAAGGCGAAGAAAAGGCGTGGACGGACGAGTTTTCACTTGTTGGTGCCAACTCTTTCTGCTGTTTTTCTTCATCCAACTTGGGGATTTATTGTGCCGCTTCCCCCCATAGTGGTCCCATATTTTAGTATCCCTGCAAGTGCAAGTTTTTGACAGTCTACGATTCCTCATGCATTTAATTTGCAGGTTCTCCACCAAGCAGGCGCTGGGGATTTGGAATCATGCGAATCCGACTTTCTGCGGCCTCTGACGTCTTGCGAGGGCGATTCTTCTCGATCATTCACTTATTTGGAGTGGGTTCACGAGAATCAAGCACGCGGCGAATGCGGAGCCGTAGCTGATATGAGTTTGGTTTTTTCGTCTGGTTTGTTTTGCAGTAGGCTATGTATTCGTATAGATGCCTAACATTCCGGTTTTTTGATCACCCACCCGATACCGCTCTGAAATCAAGCTCTTTTATCACGTCGATGGAGTACCATGATTGATTTATTCACGTATGAAGTAGCAATTGCTGTTTTCTTTTCTTACTAGTCAGTAGAGGATGAATAGAAGCTCAGTTTTGCTATACGTCAGACACATCCTATGCTTTCGTAAGGATAAATCTTTTCAGATCCTATTAAAATGAGCGCGCTTGAACCTGCTAAGCTAAAGATGCGGCTAGTGCTTTTCTGTATGGTTCTGTCCATTCATGTTGTTAAGTTGCTCGTGGGCGAGCGCGGGGGCGGGAGGGGGAAGGAAGTTACTGAAATGTAGATTTTTTTTAATGTGAGGGTCACTATATCGTTGGTTAGACAGAGCGATTCTAAGTGGGTCTATGTGAATGTACGCCACTTGCTCTGTCATTCGCTCTCAGGACTTATTGATCCCATGGCATTCATTTTCTGCCATGTATTTGCGGGTTGGGCTAATATATATTGTTCCTGATCCTTTACAGATGGTCGCATGGTGAAATCGGCTTCTTACGTTCTTATATGCTTTTTCACTTCTGTAGGCTTATGTATGAGTTTAGACAAGTATAATTTCAATTTGTAAGGCGTAAAAAGTGGAGCCTTTTAGATACTGAGCTCCTTGTTTCATGAGGATCTATTATAATACTTTTCTGCATGTTTGTCACACCTTTATTTTTTGTAATTTCATGAATTTTGAGTATTTTTGAACTTTACTGTAAAACTTTACTTTTTAGTTCTAGTTTTCCTCAAAAAGTGATGCATGATTTTTTCAGAGAACATGTAGTACGTCTAGTCCGAAGAACAACTGTTCCTGTACCATGTCATCGTCAGGTTTACCATCTTCATGTGGTGTGAGGCGGAGGTCATGGCGAGTACGCTCTCTTAAGGGCAACCTGCTGGGACTCAAAACGGTATGATTTCATTTTTTTCTATTCGTACTTGGTATTGTTCATTCTGGCTCTATACGAAAGAGATGAGGGCATTCTGGTGCAGAGCAATCGAAGCTTCATAAACTACGGCCAACACTTCTTTTTATCGAAAGGATGGGTGGGGATTGGTGCCTAAAATTGAAGAGATGAGGGGGGACGGTGCGAAGAAACGCTGGAGCTGGGAGTTTTGCTCAGGCCTAGCAGGGGAAAGGGTAGGTAGATCATCCATGGCCTACTTTATTTCTAGAATAGGGCACCTGATTGCGTCGTGGAAAGGTTTGTAAAATAAATACAAATAAATACGATCTTTCCCGAATTCCTTTTCGGATTTCTTCCTTAGATCAGCCCACTTTCGCAGTCCACCTTCATTCTCACCTGATTTTCCCCTTGTTTCCGAAAAACTTCGGCTAGGAGTTGGATTATTCAGCTTGTGAAATAGTTATACAATCCATAGCCAGGAGATTGGGGGGAGGGGGGGGGGCAGTCTGCACGAAGGGGTCCCCCTGCGGCCAGATACGACCCCGTTATGGCTAACCAGTGATTAGGTGCCCTGTCTGGAGTAGCATCTTCATCTCTCTTCTAAGGTGATGACCCAAAAGTTTTTTTGAAGGCTAGTTTCAGGAAATTCGATTATGTCAGACATAAGCAAATGAATTCTTGCATTGCATCGTTTTCAGCATTCTCTTGATTCTCCGGAGCCTCCAGTTTTGCCAAGCCAGCGGGTCAGCGGCAAGACAATGTACTCGCGTTCGTTGGCTCATAGCATTGGTGGAGAAACCTGGGTGATGGAGGTTATATCTGATGAGATATGGAAGAAGAAGAGAAGTGTCAAGAAAAAACATTGAATTCACTCCAGTCTTTGACCATTTTTGATATACATGAGTATCCTTGATCATGCTCTTTGTCATCACTGCATTTCTTTCTTTTCCATATTTAAATCACCTCATTCTTGAATTAATCCTTGTTGCAGTCAATTTTTAAATAATTTATTATATGTATTGTCTTATGTTCTCCTGTGATTCATTGGCTGCCATTTGTTTGAGGTTGTGCATTTCGCCATGTCTTTCATTCGTTATCCCTGATCATGGGCTGTTGCTAAATATTTGTGATGCTGTTCACTTAGTATTGCTTGCCTACAACATATAGCTTTCTTTAAGAATTTCTTGATAATAATTCACTTGCTTTGCTGACGTCATCACTGTTAGCGGTCACCGAGTGTGTGTGTAGCGCTATGTGTACGGAAAATTCTCTACCAAATCATAGCTACACTCATATAAATATTCTAAAACAAGTTAGCGTGGTCTATAACACTTGTTGGAGTACTTGGTTTACTTGTAAAAGATTTTTATTTTTTATAATTTTTTGGCTGTCCCTTCTAATAGTCAGTGTAGATGCTGAAGGCGTATCAGTGGGCTGGGTCGCGGGCGATGCGAGTTCGTTCTCTACCAGTCGTTGAAGAGGGGGAAAGCGACTACAAGTTGGCGGAAAGTGTGCTGGCGCCGCGCCGAACCCCAACCTTCCCCTGACACAATCATCATGCGCAC